AACTTCAATTAGAGGCCCAAAGATGATTAACTTAGTATGAAAAAAGTTTTAGATAGAAGCAGCTCACATTCCAAAAACCCTAATTTCTATATGTAAATCATGTTATGTTACACTATAAGCTCTCTCTGGTTGAGTGGCGAATCACCAATTAAAAAAGTTTCTAAAAGCTTTTTCTTTTTTTAAAAAAGTGCTATTCATACTATAGTTTGTACTATAGTTATATAAAAATCTCTTTAATTTAATTTTTTTATTGTTTATAAACTTTTAAAAATTTGATTAAAAATATTTTAACAACTAAATAACCAAAATTAATAATTTTTTTATTTAAATTTTACAGATCTGTAGAAGTCAAATAAAAAAAAGTTCATCGATTTTAGCCAAATAGTTGCTGAGTTATCTTCTAAAAGTTTATAAATAACAAAGTAATAAAATCAAGGTGACTTTATATAATCATGGTGCAAATAGCAAAATCCATAGTAAGAACAGCAATTCTCTAATAATTATTTTAATTTTTATAACTAATTCTGTGCTCAATAGCATGGATGAATATTAGTAAGTTAAATATAATACTTGTCAATAAGAATTTTTGTAGAATTAATAGGTTTATTTGATAAAATTTCTAATATTATTGATATAAAATAATTAGATTTAAATAAATATCTAATTTTTAAAATAAATATCCTTAATACCTTTAATTGCATTCAATATGGGCTGCTGTTAATAGAAATCAAGCAAATTGATATCTTAAAAAGAATTCATACCTTAACTTTCACAACTTATATCTCAATGAATTTTGAAGCTATTTTAATAATTTAGTAATCAAAAAAAATTTTAGATCTTGAACTTTTTTTTGAATCTTAAGTTATCAAATTAGCATCAAAATTTATCGAGATATAAGTCATGAAAGTTGAGATATTAAATTTTTTTAAAATATCAATCTGCCTGATTTTTATTGATGGCAGCTCATATTCTTTGTGTATTGATAATTTTACTAATATATATAATGTTAGGATATTTTGGTGTGACAATTGGCAATTTTTTGGTTGTTTTGTCTCCTTCTAAGAATTGTTTTTTAATTTCATTTGCATTATCTGCTATGCATATATTCGTTCTAGTTTTTAAATTTATTTCAAACACTATCATAAACAGGCCATCTTTTTGGATCCAAATCTATGTACTGCAGAACCAATTTAATATATCAATTTGAAGTCTCATATGCAAACTCTGGTTGCAAATTTTGACTGCAAGTTTTGTATCAAATTTATATCAAACAAAGGTTTTTGTCAGGTTGATATCTAACATAATAACTCTAAACCCGTAAATTTTAGCAGCTTTTGTAAACTACCGACTAGAGGTCCGAACTAGATTATACAAACCCGGATGACCTGGATCAAAACAAGTGAACCAGGTTTCTAATTTATAATCTGGGTCAAATTGGTTAAGACTTGAACTAGGAATTTATTGTATTAAAATTTAATACTTACTAACCAATAAATTTCAGAATATGTTATTTTCGAATTATCTTTGTACCACTATATAAGTGCACATGCACCTCTGCTCTAGTTCTCTTTAAAATTTATACTATTTGATCCTATGCCTTGGCGTTAAAATCCAAAATTAACATTATCTGATCCTATGCTTGGCGTTAAAATCTATAATTGACACTATCTGATCTTATGCTCTTGGTATTAGTTTAAATAGTTCAAATTTACTTGTTAATGCATGCAAGCATATATATAATAAAAAACTATACATAAATAAGAATAATAAATGTGATAGCAATCTCTTAGATTAGATATAAGATCGTGATAATTATATGTAAGGTAAAATAAGTGCATAATATATTAAATAGAAAAGTACATAGCACTAGACATTGCATGTGATGAAAAATAAAAATTGCAATTGGTTCTTAAATTTTAATATATTTATTTTTTAGCATTGAGTTTATTAAAATAAATATATTCAAATCAATCGAATAGTAAATATTTGTTAAGCCTAATATTATTAAATGAGAATTAATAGCATATATATTTAAAACAAGTTACTTCTAAATATGCAATAATTCAAAGTCTTGTTTTTGAGCAAAAGCTCTCGTCAATTTTTATGGAGCTATTGTATTGGTAGGATATTAACTTGCATAGTTTTATATATCCAATTTATCTATCTCCTAAGCACGTTAACTGAATATCATATATATTTGAAAATAAAAAAAGTCATATACACGTTTGACTTTGTATTCAATTACTGGTACATACCAAATATACAAAATGTTCAAATTAATATCCTTCTAACTTTCTATTAATAACCTTCCAATACACTAGCCCCATAAAATAAGACAAAAATATGTGATAGAAAATAAATAAGATTCTCATAATAGTTTTGTGTAAAACAGAACAATCTTCGTGAAATTAATACAAAAATTGCATCATTTTTCTAATCATATAAGCTAGAAAGCAATGCGTATCAGTATTAAATTAATAATAATATATATTTTCGCAAAGAAATATAAAAAGCCTCATAATTAGTGAAATCATAAATAAACAAAAAAAACAAATAGATAAAAATACAGACAAACAATTGTTCACAAACTTGTAACGTGAGTCATTCTTAAAAAGATTTTTTAACATCTATTCCATATAGATTGGTGAATTGATATAAATCTTATAAAAAAAATTCTTGCTATCCTTTTTTTTGACATAATTATTATATCCTTATCTTAAGTAACTTGAAATTAATCTTACCTTACAATGAGTGATAATGAAAGTGATTATGAAGGTTTTTTAGTTTTTGATTTAAACTGTGAAACCAGTGATAATATATCAATTGGTTCTAGTAATGGGGCTATTTTAGTTGTCAGTCAAGAAAATCAATCTCACATAACAAAAAAAGAGTAAATTGACATCTGAAGCACAGGCGAAAATATGCAAAAATCAGTTGGGTATAAAAATACTTTAAAGTAAGCAAGGATGGAATATACAATGTTTGTAAAGTTGAGATCCTGAATTTGAGTAATAAAAAGGTTAAGTGCAGTCATAAATTTTTACATGATGGTAGTACTGGAAATATGAATAGTCATCTTCGAGACAAACATAGTTTAAATAAGAATAAAAATAAAGTAAGCTTTCTATTACAAGTCAATTTAAGACAAATCGGATTCAAATCGGCATAATGTAATCCTAATATGAATCTGATTTAAAACTAATATTTGGCACAAATAGGTCTCTATTTGCACTAAATATCTGTTTTAAATCAAATTCATATCAGAATTACATAATGCTGATTTGAATCTGATTTGCCTTAAATCGACTTATGTATTAACATTATTTAATATTTAATATAATTAATAATGCTTATCTAATCCTTGTAAAGAATAAAGACCATGGTATTCAACAAACATTGGCAGAAGCTCTTGAACAAGCAAAAGTTAAAATGCATAAGGAACCACGAAACCAAAAGATTTAGCAAGCAATTGCTGAATAGATTATCATTAATAATTTGGCATTTAGCATAGCTAAAGAAAAAAGATACAAAAAGATGATAGGAATAGTCGATCCAGCATTTCAACTTCCCTCTGAAAAAAGAATTAAAAAAAAAATTAATGATGCTTATCCTAAAGCAGTTGAAAATTTAAAACAACTATTAGATAATACTTGTAAGTCAGTATCCTTAACAACTGACTTATGGACCTCGAGTGACAAACATAGATACATAGATATAACAATTCATTGGTTAGCAAGTAATTTTAGAGTATATGACTGCCTTATTTGCATGGAACATATGCAATATCCATATTCGGCTAAAAGAATTGTTACTTTTTTAAAAAAAAATATTACAGAATTTGGATTAGATAGAAAAATAATTTGTATTACAACAGATAATGAAGTAATATGGTTAAAACAATTGGTTTGTGAGAGAAGGTTGAACATTTATCTTGTGCAGCTCATACCTTACAATTGTCAGTTTTTTATGCTTTCAAAAAAACAAATATTCATATTAAAAAAATAAAAAAATTAGTCAAGTTTTTTACCAAATCTCCTAAGCAAAGTGAACGTCTTGATGAAGTGCAACAAGAATTACATTCACAAATCCAAAGCAATGATTGCCTGACTAATACATTAAATTCTGGTGATAGTGATTCATCAGTAAATGTTGCAGATTCTGAAAAACCTATTTTACATAATATAGCTGATATAAAGACAAGATGGAATTCAAAATACTATTCATGGAAATGGCTACTTAAATTATATAAAGCAGTTGAATAGTTATATACAAAACTATTTTTATCTGATAATCCGAATGATCAAGCTGACAGTCAAAAATTAAAAAAGCTACTTCTTTCACCATATGAGGGGACCTGTTAAATAAAATCATTACTTTGTTAGAGCTATTTGATGATGCCACTACTTATTTTAGTGGCTCACAGTATGCTATCTTATCTATTATATATCTTTTAATTGAAGCGCTTAAATATAAATTCGTTGAATTTGATATAACAAGTGATACACAAAACAATGAACAAGGTATATTATTCATTATATACATCTTATCTATTATCACTTCTAATAACTATCTATTTTATAGTATATAGTAAATCTTAGTAGCGTTAAGCTACTAATATTTACTATATATTAGAAAATAGATAGCTATTGAAAGCTAAAGTTTTTCTGATATATTTTATATATCTTAAATTGATTAAATAGATAATCTAACTTTTGTTATGAAGAATCATCAGATGATGATAGTAATGATTCAGAATTTGATACTTCAGAGTTAACTGATGATTCTTCTCAAATCATCAAGTCAATGCGCTATACAATCTATAATTCCTTATTTGATTATTGGAATAAACCACTGATGGTCGGTTTGTTGACATCACTTTTGGATCTATAACTAAAAATGCTTTTTAGTTGGGATGAAGAAACCCAAGAAAGAGCCAAAGCTGAGTTAACTCATAAATTCAAAAATATAGCTACTTCAAATTGTGAACCAACAATAGCATCAATATATACTACTTTCTTAAATAGTAACAATCTTCATCGCAATCGTTTACACACCTCAATTTTTGGTAAATCTGCCTCAAGCTACACTGCTTCCAATCCTTTAGCTAAATTAGAATGCTATCTAGATCTCACACGAACTCCTATTACCGAAGATAATACAAGCCCATTTGAATGGTGGGCAATTTGGAAAACAAAATTTCCTAATATAGCAAAGTTAGCCAGAAAGTATTTGTCAATTCCTGTATTCTCTGTGCCTAGTGAAAGGTTGTTTTCGGATGCAGGTAATTGTATTACTGCAAAACGTACACAACTAGATCCTAAGTTAGTAAATAAAATGATGTTTTTAAAAAGAAATTCTGATGTAATTTCATTTTTTTAAATTATAAAAATAAATAAATCAATATTTTAGCTAAAAACTGCATAACGATAATAGACTGATACTTATTTATCAATATGTATAGTTACAATAATCTAAGCTTCAATTAAATATCATTCTAGCTATTTTTGCTTAAAGGCTGATCATGAGTACGAATTCATAGTAATATGTATATGTACTAAGTTCATTACACTAACCCTTTCCAACATAAAACTATAACGCTAAGTAGAATTTTTGCATTTTCAGCATGACAGAAGTTCGATTTATACACCAATATTACACAAGATTTGATATATCAAAAGTTATAGAAGTTTGGGCTCATGTTATATAACGGTATATCAAAAAAATCTTGTTTTCTTTTAAGCTTTGAATATGCAATTCTACAATCACTATGCAAACAATTTGTGAAAAC